AGGGACCCCAGGCTCGAGGGGATGCCCAAAAGGGACCCCAGGCTCGAGGGGATGTCCATTAGGGATCCCAGGCTCCTCAGGCGAGAAAACCTCATGCCGTACCGGCCCCAGCTTCTGTCATTGAGCCCTCCGCGAGAGCAGCGCCAGTCAGAGCGTCCTCAAGAGCGCCATCTCACGCCGCCCAGGGAACCGGGTGTGAAGAGGGGTCTCTTGAAGACTCCCCCGCACTCCATGAGGCTGCAACACCCTAGTTACGGTGGTGGGGCAGGCGTGTCTCAGAACTTTAAAGAGGAGCGCACTCCTAAGAAGGGCCTCCTGAAGACGCCCCCGGACCACATGCGGTTGTTACCCCCTCTCAAACATGATAGTGACGGCCCGAGTGACCCTGACGACGACCCGCCCCCGAAGAAGACACGTACCCTTGACATGAAGTCAACCATCAAATTTTCCCCCGAAGAAAATGAGAGAGAAACCGATAACAGCTCGGAAGATGAACATGCCCACAATACCGCAGGGCATAAGAAACGCATGCTTCCTCCGGCCACCAGCGTGACTAAATACGAGGCTCGGTCTCCTCTAGATCAGCAGGACGAGGAGCCGAGGAAAACCTACGACTCAGGTAAGTGTTTCAGGGTGCTCGGGACGCTGGGTTGGGCTAGCTAGAGTCCTTCTAGATTGAGCTGGCCATTGTGGCACAACTCAAGACAGAGGAAGGGAACTTCAAAAATACCTACACGATCAACGATCAGCTCTCTATCAAAACTCAACTGTGTATTAAAGAAAGACCCCCACCCCCATACACACAAAAACAAGTTGTATTAGTAAATGGACATACTGTAATGTCAGTGTTTATATTCTACAGTATTAAGGTGGCCCAACTACAGAGCCTCGCGGTTAGTCAAGTCAACGAAAGAGCTCCCACCACCCATCATTTCAAATTGCCAATATGTAGACAGCTTGGGTTTGATAGATGGAACTAGGTAGTTCAGTTACGCATTAAATATATTTTTACAAATTTTGAAGACATGTTAGAGCTTTTTTTTTATAGCTGTACTGAAAAATGGTGGGTCCTGATGGGTCATCAAGGCCCCAAAATGTCTGCAAAATTTGTGAAAATATATATTGTATTACTAAAGTGCCTAATTTGCCGGGGCTGTATCCGTATTAGCAAAATTTGAAATGATGGGTGATGGGGGTACTGTGTTCCAGTGTATAGAACTGTATTTACTTACCCAACTAATGTTTGACATACAACAGTGTTTGTGGGGATTTTGTATCTAACATTTGTTTCAGCCAAGATGTCAGCAAGTTCCTCACGAGACCGATTACTTTCCACCATTTGTAGTTGGAACCCAAAATGGATCTTGGTAACTATTTTAACTCTACTTAATGTAAGTTATATTGATTGTATGTTTTCTGCTGGTACCGGTATGTCTAATATCGTTTTTCCTATCATGCCTAGATCCCAGAAAAATCAAAGAATTTTCCTGATTTGTTGAATAATGAAGAGAAATACATGTCAAAAAAAGATTTGGTACAATTTTCTTCTAGTCATGCATACTGCAAACATTTTCAAGATGGATTATTCCTTGACTTGTGGAGTAATTTATGTAAAATTGTTTTACAAGCAAGAAAAAAAGGGCGAGTCTTGTAAGCTTTTAAATTTAATCCTATGTATTATTAGAAGTACGTAGATTTATACTTTCATTGCTAATGTCAATGTTCATTACCTTCCCTTGGATCATGTAGAATTACTGCTGAAGTTGAAGGGGAACCTCAAGAACTACCATTGCTAGGTAACATTAAAAGAAGGACAATCATCTGTCACTGTAAGTAAGGAAGACAACTTTCTGAGTAATTTGGACTGTTGGCTGATCCATAATTTACTTTTCTTTCCTCTCTCCCAACAGGTGGCACTGCTAACAATGATGAAAACAAAATTTTCAAAAAAAATGATGTAGTTATTGTTCATTCTGGCAAGTACCTGTATTTTGCTTATGTGGTGGCAGAGCCAAAGACAAAGTGCATATCAGACAAAGTAGAGCTTCCTAATTATTTGCGTAGTAAGTTTGTATAACACTATAAATTATTGATCAGTTATTAGATTGAAAATATAACAATTTTCTCTTTTTTCTCTTACAGAAGATCGTCATGGCAAAACATTCACCCATAAATGCACCTTTCCACTTATGGTTGTTGTGCCAATTGATAATTCTGTTGATCCAGGAAAATTGATTTATGTAAGTTGCCTAATTTAACAATATGCAAAGGTTGATTTTAGTGGTGTTTTTTTTTGTTTTTTTTAAATGCCTGATTTTTATTTTTTTTAGATTGAGAAAGTTAAAAATATTAGTGATGATTTGGAGACAATGAAAAGTTTGGAAACTTTTTCAACTTTAAGCTCATTGAGCACTCTTGTAATGCAGCCAATATATTATCCTTCCATGAAGACAGTGGTCGCAAAATATGTATGTATTTTCTGCCACGAACTATTTGGTCTTATTGTATTTTATAATCTACTCATGTGCATTTTTGTTTTCTAAATTCCAGGAAGCATTATTGGATAGAGAGCTTAGGCCTTCTCTTTTGTCATTAATACAAGACATTAAAGGTAATGAAGCCCCGTCAATAAATGTAATTGAGGGTGGTCCTGGAACTGGAAAAAGCCATCTGGCTGCAGTACTTGCAAAAGAGTTGTCAAGCCCAGAGAATTATGTAATTCTTACATCAAAGTCCATCCATGAGCTGAATACGTTAGCCAAGCTACTTTGCGGCAGCAAGCTCAAAGTAGAAGATAGTAAAGAAAATAATGCTGTTGATGCTGTATGGTGTGGTAGTAAACGAAGTAGGGCAGAGTGGGACAGTCTTGAGAAAATTAGTTTTGATACATTAGTAAAGAAAAGTGACTCTAAAACCGATAACACTATTTACCGTTTAAATGAGAAAAAAGAAATTCTCAAGAAAGCAATTCACAAAGAAGAGATTGCTATATGTAAACTAATTGCTTGTGGCAAAAGTGCCGAAGCTGCTTCTCTAAAGACTTCATGCGCTAAAAAGAAAATGGATCTTTCTTTGAAAGAATCTGAAATAGAAGAAGCAAGTAAACCAGTAAGTGTTCCAGGCATATTTTCATCTTAAGTTCGACCTCTGGCTTATGCCATTCTATTACTTCAGCTAATACTTTTTTTTTCTTTTCCTCATGATAATATTTTGAAAGGTTTTGAAAAAATCTCCCAATCCATCTGAAATTCTTCAAAAGTGTAATATTATTCTGACAACGTTCAGCCCACCCCTTTACTGCCTAGAGGCATTTAAAAACATGTAAGTAAAGCATGTAAAATTGTCTTTTTTAAAGTTTGAAATCTATGTCTATCTCTGTATTTTATGTCCAACTGACTAAATATGTCTTTCTCTTTAAAGGCAAAGACAATGTAGGCGTGTGGTGCTGATTGTTGATAATGCTTCGGAAGTAGTGGAACCTATTATTATAAGATTAATACGTGCCTTTAATGTGAGCGATCTGGTGCTCTTTGGTGATACAAAGCAGCATGTACCTTTTGTGCCATCTGAGGTTTGTCCTTCCTTCTTGGTTGTATCAATTTGATATGAATTTAGAATGAATATACATGAAATTAATTTTCCGTTTCAGAGAGCTCGGAATTCTGGTTTGGATGTATCCCTCATGGAACGATACTCAAGAGCATTAAGGGATACAGAATTCCCTCCGAAAAGTAGGCTTTTGACAAGGCAATTCAGGTTGCACCCTCACGTCATGTCTCCAATAAATAATCATTTTTATAATAATACAATGAGCGAAATCGATCAGAAAATAAGGACTCATGCATTCCAACCATATATTTGGTTTCACTGTTCATATTTTTCTCAGTAAGATTCCTATTTTCTTTTTTAAGACCCACTGTCAAATTATATTTGTTTACATTTTATTTTTTATTTTGAAGGGGCGAGGAAAGGTTTCGTCAAGAAGCAGATTTTGCTGAAAAATTGCTAAGTGTTGTATGTAAGATACCACCTTATAGCTCCGATGATCAAAAGATTAGATCATATCATGTACAAGTGACTTCCCTTTGCCCCAATGTCTCCAAAATCCTGAGCAGCAGTTCAAAGTAAGTATACAGGTTTTGAAGGATAATCAAAAATAGGTATGATTAGTATGTGATTGCACAGTTACATTTCTTCTAATTGCATACTTACTTTCAGATCTCACCTCCCATTTACTCCATCTAATCTCCTCAGCTCTTTAGAGTTTGATGTCTTAATATTATGCGTGGGAAGTGCAACAAGGGTGGCAGCTCATAAAATTATTACTCCATGGACACGGGCTAAAAGATCTCTTTTTGTTTGTGGGAGTTTTGATCATCAGGTATGTTTTTATTTAATTGTACTTCTGTACTTCGTTCTGTACTTGTTTCTTACCATAGCAATAAATTCATAACTAAAATTTAAATTACAATCTTAACTTTTTTTTTCTTGCAACAATAACTTGCAATAATAACAACTGTAACTCCTTTTCCTAGTCTGTCCGTGGACCTATGACTCATCTTTTAAGAAGGGCTCAAGAGAAAGGTTACTTGAAGGAGATAACCAGTGCACAAATAACAGAAGAAAAATTAGAAGAAAAAATTAAAAAATATTAGATGAACGCCAAAGTGTGTTTGGTTTTTTGGGGCGCATTAACCTTGTGAGAATTGTTCACCATTCTCACAAGCGTTGACTCAATGCAATCTTTTTAAGAGCATCAACTTATCTAGAAGTGCCAGAATTAAATTAGTTCTTCCCTACTCCCTGCCTTTTATGTCTTTTAAATTGTATACTAACATGTATCTTTTCCCTTTAACTAAGTTGTATTTTGGCACTCTAGAAAATTATCTTTTATACAGAAATATGCATATGAATTGGTAGTCATTTCCTTTGCTCTGCTGAAACTGCCACTTAACTGTTTCGAGTCTGAGTACAAACTCCTTACATCTTTTTTTTTTCTTTTTCTGTTCTCCAAATCTATTGTGTGGGGTGAGGAGCTTAAAATGTTAGCTTTACTTGCTGCTTTTCCTGTTGTACTATACCAATTGTGTAAATTGAGTACCATGGATTAGGCTATTAACTGCACAGAAATTTTGGAAATTCTATCAGTTCATTGCATGTGTATAATTCTTTTAGTTTAATATACCGGTAGTTTAGATCTCAAGAACCCAGTTAATTAAGTGCACTACTAATATACCATGGATTTTAACATTTTATTATGTATTTCAATTGCCTGCATTTTTTAAGTGTTAGAGTTGGTTCTTGAGGGTAGTTGTATATGATTTTAGCATCATAATAATCCTAGTTTTATTTTTTTAACCAATACGATTATTAGGTTCCTGTTAATTGCTAACACCTGAATAAATGTTTTAGTGTTTTAATATGATGTTTGACAAAGGAAATAATTACTTATGTTTAAATGTCTGTCAAATATCAATGTACAAATCAAATGCATTTGTAGGTGTTGCAATACTCAAAGTAAAAACTTGTACTTTGAATAAAACACTGTGTTTAATTCTATGTAATATTCATTCCTTGTGTTGAAGGAAACAAACATAACTGATATGTTTCCAACAAATACATTTTGTGTTGTAAATACATTCTCTCATTTCTTAAATGTAATAAAAACAATGGTTGTATAACATTTATTAAATAACATAGCTTAAGACTCTTATATTGATCTCAAAAAACAGCTTCCTTCCTCAACAATAGGTACATGGTAGATTCCTATTGGGAGTTTCCAATTGAAAGTTTTTTCAAACTTTTAATTGCTTTGGTTTCAAAGTTTGACTACAATTCACTATTTACACCAAGATTACAATATTGGACAAAGAATTCGAACATGTATGTGAATAAATCATATTTACATTCTTGCTTTACATCATGTAAACTTCTACATTCATACATACATATACATGCGTCCTGCGCATATAGAACATACAATATGTACAAGATGAGTATTTTTTTTTATCTTTACATTTTATTGGATATTGTTTTGGTAATGGAATTGCTATAGCAACTAATCTGAATTGTGTTTCGTATTAGGCAAATGTGTGCTGTATGCCACCCTAGGAACACAGCAGAACATGATCTACTGTGTTCTTATCACTACATACCATTTTTGGGATTTGAAACAACCAGTCCTCTCAGTTAATAGCAGCTTTGTGTCATGGAATTGCATGAGAGTTTTAAGTATTAAAAACTTAATGATTAAGGCCCTCAACTTGATTTACTTGAAATGGGGAATAACCACAGAGTTACCGTTTACAATATCATTGACATGCTCATGTTACTGTAATAAGAACAAAAATCACTAAGCTTCAAAATGCTTAAATATTTTTAAAAGAAATGTTGATTTGAAAAGAACACTTGCCATAATCTCTTTTGATGGATCGTTCAGAAGAGAAAAAAATAATCTAAAAGTACCTATGCAAAATATACTTTCTTTTTTCTTAAGACGAAAATGAAGAGGCAAACAGAAGTGAAGAAGATAAAGTAAATTTACCAGCATCAAGTCCCCATTTACAATTCATGTCATTGTTAAAATGGGATGTTTATAAAGCTTTAGGTTGATCAATTACCCTGAAAATATTTTCAAAGATGAATAATATGAAACCAAATTTCACAATTTCTTCCAAAACCTAACTTTTACATTACATCAACAATAGAAAAATAAAAATAAGGGTTTGTCAGAAAGACACGTCAATCAGTAGTCATACTTAAAAAATCCATTGTAATTGAAATGAAGAACAGTGCTCCAGTTAAAATTCACTCATTTGATTCAATGCTTAAGACCACAGGGCCTGTGATTCCGGGGAATTTCAGAATCTCAGTGAGTCCCCTAGAAATCAGACTTTCTCCCAATGGATTCCCAGCAAATACATATAGAGCTTGTTGCTTATTTCTAAGGAACCCACCTGATCTTTGAGACTTTTCAAGTACAAAGGAAACTGCCAAAAACTGCTGGGTATCTCAGGATTTGCTTTTACCCAGTGCGAAGTAAAATCTCAATATATTTTAATATTTTACATGGATGTCATTTTAAAGGTGAATGTCTTATTTGACAAACCTTTGATACACAAACTGGAGTTACACAAAGTCCAAAAGCAGTTGAAATTATATTGAGATGTTTCCAGTAGGGTCATATTTCAGTTGCACATTAAACAACAGGGTTCAATTAAACCACAGATAGAATTAGAAGTAGAACAAAAGAGAAAGGAAAACCAATACAGAAAGTTGACAATTCTAAGCATGCCATTAACAAGGTAAGAGTTTCGCCTGGAACTTGAATAAATGTGCGTCAGGCAGATCTATCTTGTGCAGCCACAGATGTCAGAACTTGTCATTCTGAGGGTTCTCACCAGAGGTCTCTTACAACTTCCACCTGAAACGTGATGTAAATGTGATGTTGAAAGAATATTCAATCAAATTTTAATTTGAGAGTGACTGATTGTGCGTATAAAAACAAGAAAAGAAAACTCTACTAGATCACAATGTGAGGAGGATACGCAAGCAATTACGAAGTATAATTATAATTATGACATAAATATATACTTCATGTCATTAATGACGGCTATAAACTAAACCAGTTCTAAATCTCGATGTTATACAGGTAGAGTAGACGTATACAAAAGATAAATTACAAGACGGTACCTTCCAGCATAGCTTGAAGTGGACACACAGAAGCAAAACACAAAAATGCAATGACATAGCTATTTTCTTTTGTTCATAAGGCTAGCTTTTGTTGCAGCAAGGAAAAATCAGTCTTAAAAAAACAACCAAGTATGTTTATTTATTGAGAAATCCCACATAAAAATTTCATACTTCATGGTTGTTGTATGAGAAGATTATTAGCAAAAAAAAAAAAGCAACACAAGTAACACAGTTCCAGTGTGAGATAGTCAAATTTGCAAGAAGGTGCAGAGACTCCTCAGGTCAAGGGGGTATCTCTGAACATTGTCCTAAAATTTGTTAAAAAATTGAAGTTTGCTACAGAATTATTCTTTAAAAAAAAGGGAAAACCTACTTTTAGCGTCTACTGAGAATAGTTAACAAATGTGTGATTTCATCCTGATGTGCTAATAAAACATTGTCCAAAAATTTTTGAAAAGAGGCAGGCTTTTCAGTGTATAGTAACTTGAGTAGAACTTAAAGCATAATGCAATGATTGGAAAAGTGTCCTCACTTTTCTTGCCTTTTGTTACCTATAAATATTAAAGTATTCACACCAACAGGTGAAGTGCAAAATTTTAGACCAAATTAAAGATAGACTCAAACAAAAGCCAAATTCTAGTGAGACTCAAACTGTACGAAATTAGTAATGCTTCAATACCTCAAGAGACTTCAGAGCAGATATTCATCAGCTACTGTCTAGCTGACCTCTTTTTGTTGACTCAGATAATAGGTGGTAAGATAAAAAATGCACATGCAGATTTCCCTTCAAACATCACAATTGCTTAGAAATGATTGATTATTTGTGATATAAAAAGAGCAGTAAACTTTCGAGAGTATTATTGCATGCTATCACATCTAATAAATTAATGATCCTACCCGACCCGCAGGAGGAAATAAAGCTACCTTACAATGAATACCGATTTCTTTCCTAGACAAAAACATAATTTAAAGAAACATTAAGTTAACCTCAAACACCATCTCAGCCAGAAATGCCATCTCTAGATAACGTCTAAAAGACATCTAAGGTCCAGTTTTTGACCACTTAGACGTCTAAATGATCAAAAAATAGACCTTCAAAGCCGTTTAGAGGTAGCATTTCTGGCTGGGTTACTGCAAGGTAAGTAATGAACAAGACTGGGAGATTTTGTATGGTTGTTGGTGAACTGATATTTAGCACAGATTTGTATAAGTCATTTCAATAAAACAGGATATAATATTTTTTCATTTCCAACTTAGCTAGGATGTTTCTCATTTAAATTCTGGCAAGTTGTCAACTTACTTGGGGAATATGAAAATTGGCTTAGCATTTTCACTTACCCGGTTCCCTTTTTTCCCCCCCTAAAATTTCCGGAATGTTCCAAAAGATAAGATACTGTCTGTGTAATTTATTACCCGTGCCAAATAGAGACATGTCCACAAAGGAGAGAAAAAAAAGAATTCACTTGATTGTTTGTTAGATACATTGACTATTTCCATACTAAATCACCTTGGCCAAAAGAATATTTTCAAATTTTGTTTGAATTTTAGGTTTCTGCAACCCCCCCAGGTGCTACCTGTCCATAAACAATTTAATGTTGTTTATGCAGAGGTTTATTTCCAGAGGGTTACCTATGATGCATAAATGAAAATTTGTTGGTGAACCAGTATTGAGAGAGAAGCCTAAAGTTTTTGCAAAAATTTAGCTACCACACTAAAGTAATCCAATCACACTCCACAGAAATCATATAGATATTTATCACAGAGTGGAAAGCTGGTGGAGTCTTTCTTCTCTTTCAAACAAAGCAGTCATCAAAATCAGTCAAAACAAGAGCAGGACAGGCAGTGGCAACAGCAAAATCTTTTAGATACATGACAGAGATAGATTGCTAATAATGAGATACATAGTAGTTAGAAAAAGGCACAACCATTCATATTTTTAATTCTGTGGATTTAAGCATGAATTAGAGCCCAACATAAAACCAGATAATCCAAACCCAAAATTTACAATCCATAAAATTAAATTAATACCTGTGAGAGGTCACAGTCAACAGAGACTACAACATTTAGAGGAGTCCCCAAGATGAATTTGACAAAAATTTATTCCTGCGCAAACCTCACTTACTGTAGTGGTTGTTGCGTGCAACCCTAAATTTTGATTTATGTCACTAGGTGCGGCTACACGTTCACGAGTGAGAGAACTACAACTTTGTGCCTTATAAAGACGACCACGTCCAAACAAAGGAAGGCAAAGTTTGCGGTGCATTTGAAAATAACGTCCCAAAAGCCGCATCTTCTTACCTGTGCTATTTTTAGTAGTTAATGATTTGCTGACATTACATACATTCTCTTTTTCTTCTGCAGCAGACTGTTGCTTTGATGTTAACTTAGAACTCATTTTGATGCCAGGTGTAGCTAAAATTTCTGGTTGATTTTGAGGTTGTGGTCTTGGTTGATCTTCCCTTACTCCAGAAGAAGGCTTTAAATTTAAGCCTCGTAAAATGCGTGTGCCAAGGCTTTTAGTTTTTGTAGAAGAAATTGTAGAGGCAGGGGAAGAACCAGAGGCAGATACTGGTTCTGCTTCTTGCACCTCTGTGATACGATTTAAAGATTGACTCTCTCGTAGCCTTGTTTCCCTTGCCCGTCTTCGCCCAACTCTGTGTCCAACAGACCCAGCACCACATGATGTACCTCCACTCCCTCCACCACTTCCACTACCTGTCCCAGAGGAATTTCCTCCATTGCCGTTATCCCTGTTATTTCCACCAGTTTTCTGATTTTGAGAACTTTCTTCATTCACATCTCTACTACCTGATCCACCACTAACACTTCCCCCTCCACCCCCACCCCCACTCCCTCCACCCCCTCCCCCACCTGGGTCTTGTGAATCACTTGAGTCATCATGAGAGTCTCTTCGTGGTGGAAAGTTTTTTAACTTGTGAGCTCGTTTCTTGCGACTCTCACTATCATCATCACTTGCATCCGAGGAGCTACATGATGCAGTTCTTGTCTTGTGAAACTTACTGCGTCGCTGTTCGTAACTTGTCATTGTGCGCGGACTTACTCTTCCTGGTCTGCTGCTAGGTAGGAGAGCTGGAGCTTCATTCAAATGGTCAACTGTTCTGAAACCACCTTCTCCTTCTTCAAAAATTTCGTTCAATAATGACCCAGATGATCTAAGGGATTGCACAGGAGAAGGCAAACTTTTATAGCGTGGCGACACACTAGGAGTACCTGGTGCATGGAGGGGAGTTGGAATACACACTGTCGATGATTCTTTTAAGATTGTGGTGCGTAGTTTAGGGGTGTCATCAGTTTGCTGTGAAATAGTTCCCTTCAGCGAATCTTTACGGCGTTCAGCCTCCGCAAGGCGGTCTTTGACTAACGCACTAAGTTTTCCTTCAGAGCGAGATCCTCGTCTATTGAGAGAGCAAGCTGAAGCAATATCATCCGAACCACTTCCTGCAACAATATCATCTTCCTCTTCGTCCTCTTCCTCAGCAACAATACTGCACTTCCTTGATCGAAAATTCTGCAGAACATACAGTGTTGGTAGAATAAATGTGATAAGGATAAACTGGGACAGAAACTAAAAAGCAGGCAAGACATATAATATACCTGGCCAGGGACATCTCCAACAGCGCAAGGTGAGGCAAGCAAAGATGGATTCACAGAGTTTATTGGGGACTCCAGCTCACCCTCTACCACTGGGGAAACACTTACTAGCGGGTTATTACTGCTGAAAAACAAACGGTCTAAGTAGAAGCATTGGAAGTGCAAATACTACAAAATATGTAATTGACATCAAATTACTTTTTTCAGGGGTACATAAATTGAAACATTTGGGTTGATCAGTTACAATGAAAGTTATGGCAACTCAACTTACCCTTGAGAGCTATTCAATGTTTTACTCCGTGAAGCAGGTCTCTTAGGAAGAGTGGCTTGTCGCACTTGCTTGAGACGACGCTCAGCAAGCAGAAAATATGTGGCTGTGATGTAGTTATACTCATTTTTATCAAGAGCTCTGCCGTAAAAAAAAAAAAAAAAAAAAAAAAAAAAAACAACAACAAACAAAGCAATTGAGTAAAAAGAAGTATAATAAAAATATCAACAAAAATGTGATAATACATACTCAATAATCTCCTCCTTTGTAGCAATATTACCATTGGCCATTTTCTGAATTATTACTGCATGATCGTCATCTGATACCTGCTCCCGGGATACGAGAGGTAACAATTCAGATTGAGGTTCAGATGCTTCATCCATTGCAAGCCAAGCATCATGAGATATTTCTTCAAGAGTTGCTCTTTTATCAGGCTCTCTCACAAGCATTCTTGATATCAACCTACTCATGCAAAGTATTTTGTCAAATATAAAGATGTTTCAGATGATTGCAAAGCACTGCAGCTGTACCTAAAACCTACCTTTTACAGTTATCAGAGACATGAACAGGTATTGTGTATTTACAGTCCATAATCATTGTTAAAGTTTCACTATCATTAGCCTCTTGAAAAGGCGCCTGACCACATACCAGCATGTATAAAATTACTCCTAAAGACCAAACATCTGAAAAAGACAAGATAAAATTACTATACTACTTTAGATATATTAAGAGAGTTGCAGTCATCAAGAGCAAGATCACGTTATGTATATCCTTACCCACTGCAGGAGCATCATACGAATCACCAAGTAAAATTTCTGGTGCTGAGTAAGCAAGAGATCCACATGAAGTTTCTAGCTTTTGGCCAGGACAAAAGCGATTACTGAAGCCAAAATCAGTCAATTTTACAATGCCCAAAGTTTCAAAGAAAACAACATTTTCAGGTTTCAAATCTCGGTGGACTACATGTAAGCGATGGCAATAATCAATAGCGCGAACAATCTGTCTGAAGTAGTTTCGGGCAGTCTCCTCATCCAGCCCTCGGCCTTCATGACGCATAATGTAATCATATAGATCACCCCCATCACCCAATTCCAGAATCAAGTACAGTTTTGTATTGGTGTCGATCACTTCATATAAACGAACAACATTAGGATGTTGTACAAGTTTCATACAGCGGACCTGTAACCATGACAAACATTACAACAAGTTCAAAGTTACCCTTCAATTCAAACGCAACTTTACTTTCCACTTTACCTCCTGATAGAGGTGAGCCCTCGACACATCATCCAGCTTGTTTTTGTCAATAACCTTCACCGCCACTTTCTCGCCAGTGAAGACATGCCTGGCTAGCTTCACGACGGCGAAGTGTCCGCGGCCCAGGGTCTCCAGCAGGTCGTACATACCCGCTATCTTGGAGCCTGGCTCCACAGTCGCACTACGAGGTCCGATGCGATGCATGTCTGCGCTGCAAAACGTACGAGAACACATCAAGAATAAAAGGTCAGAATCAAACAGCCACTTTCTCACTCCACCTGAAGTACCAACAGCATAACGCACGCCGGGTGAATCAGTGTGCGCGCGATGGCGCCTGGGGTCCGAGCGAGTAGGCAAACATTGATGCACCCGGCACACACAAAGGGACACACCTGCCAGTAGATATTACATCCGGGGCCCAACACTGTATCTATTTATCCAATCCATCCAGCGCAGCGAAGGACCACGGAGGGGAAGGACCAAACGGAAACCGCAAACGGGGAGGTAACGAACCGGAAACGAACTCGCGGGCCTACCCGGCCGTGCCGTGTACGCCTCACCCGCCTCGCGCCTCGCCGCGGCCGCGCGACTGGGCATGAGCGAGGCTAGCAGCCGAACTGCCGTCGCGACGCGAGGAGAGCGCCGCCAGGCGGCCGGGCAGCTGGGGAGAGGGAAGGGGAAGGGGGAGGGGCTAGTGACGCCCGCGATCACCACGGACCCCCTAGACTTAAGCCCCAGCGCCTGAGAATAGAAATCACCCATTCAATTGGCCAAATGGCCGCCTCCAGAATTTGATCATTGAGTCATCACGTCTGGGGTATGGCGGGGTGGCAGGCCAATGTTCACGCGCCTCCGACAAGGTAGACGACGCGCCGCGCAAGACTAGAACGCAGTCCACGCAGACCCCCCCCCACACACACACCGGTGACAACAATGACGACATACCCGCGAAGAGGTATTAATACCGTCGCGCCCAGCGCAGCGTTCGGACTCCACTCGGAGCACTGTGCTAAGCGCAACCTGCGGCTGCCCGCCCGGCCATCTCGCACACCTGCGGCTCCTACGCACTATTCGCGCCGCGCGTGTAGCGCCTAGCCGACGAGGCGAGGCGGCCAGGCCAGACGCACCGGCCGCCGTAAGTGTCCAGTCTGCGCGAGGGTGAGGGCCGCCCATGGGGCCGGGCGCCTGGCAGCGCGCAGACTAGGCCACCCGCCGCTCCGCTGTGCGTCGCGGACGGCTCGTTGCCTACCCGCGCAGGCGCTCGGCCGCTTGGCCCCGCGCAGGCTATGCCACCCGCCG